GGATTCTGGCTCTGTCCCCTTCATCTGGACACAATACCATGTGGTGTTACAACTTTGAATGTTAAGAAACCTTATATTTCCTCCAGTATCAGTACTTAATGTTTCGTTCCACACATAAAAACCCTGTGAGTAGAAGGCTGCTGGCCCCCTTGTCAGAGGTAATTTCTCAGGGCTCTGCATGGGATTTAACGGGAGCCATATGGTTAAGTCCATCAACCCTCCCAGAAAGCATCCCCTTGAAAGGCTCTCATAAATGTTCTTGGGACTGTGAGAGACCCAGCAACTTTTTAACAATAAAGCAATGTTCATAGCCATGATATTCAGCAAAACACAAAGCAGGAAATAATGGCTCTAGTCTGAATTACTCAAAGAGGGCTTCACGCTGTCCTGGCAAAAGACTATAGCCAGTGACAGCCTGCTATCTGCTGGCCTGTGGCTTCCAGTGGGAAGAGGACCAAGCTGGTGGCAGGGCACTTACCTAGGTGGGCAGCTGCAGCACCACCCTGATTGTTGATTTGTGCAGCTTAATAATGAATCTCTTTGCATATGCACTTACAAAGCAAGCTCATTCTTAAACTGTAAATTGCTTGGCTATTTAAATTTTTTTAAAACTGTATTTTTCTGTCTTTTATAGACCTCTCTCCCTTTTTTTCCCATAGCAACAATGACACAAAAATCCTCAAATCTATTAACATTCCCATTTCATGAACACTCAAGCAGCACACCAAACCATTTATTATTTATTATTATTATTATTATTATTATTATTATTATTATTATTTTCCATAGTCATATCCTCTGAAATATCCCTCATGTTCTCCATAACCTGGTGTATGCGAGATTGCAAAGAGAGAAAGAAGCATGGAACAAATGAGAAAAAGACACAATTTATGATGAATTTGGCATCTTTTAACTTTTACAAGAACCAAGGCCTGCTTTTGTAACATCTTATGAATATCTAGCTACATATTTAACCTATAGAATCTAGCTATAGCATCATGAAGGCAGAGTTCCTGGACAAATAGCTAAAAGTGGCTACACATATCACTTGGATGTGTGTTAGAACTAAAACTGCTATGAAATCAAGCCTTCATATATGCAGACTATTGAACATCATTTCAAGTTTCCTGATATCTTAATTAGAATATTCCACAGTAGAATATTCACACCCATGTCCAAATATCAGCTTTGGTTGGAATATTTGTATTATCTAATGTTAGACAAATCATAACTGCATTATAAATAATTTACTATCGAATAAGTTTCACCAACAGTCTAATGAGCTTATATATTTGCCCAATTCCTAAAGAAAATGAAATTTGCAGCACGTTTTGAATATAGTCAGAAAATCTGAAAACTCATTTGGCAATGCCTCCCCATAACCTGCTAGACATTCCTAGTTGATAGCCACTTGTGTAGAATTCCACACTTTGTAATTACCTGTGTTGTTCTACTGAAAAATTAGCAAGTGTGAATTATCTTCAAATATTTACACTCCATAAAGAGAAATGGACTTCTTTAAGAAAGCTATATTCTAGTGATATTATATTCATCTGATTTTTAGCTTCTACAAAAATGTCTCACATGAGAAGAGACCTAGAGACGTTGAGAAAGACAGGCTCAAAATCCAGAGAAAGAGAACATTTATACCATCACTACCTGCTCATTCACTATTTTCCCCAGTCTTTGCTGATTTGATCCTGAATTAATGAGCTTGTTACATGATATCTAATAAAAAAAAAAGTGACTGGAGAAGAGATATGGCCTCTAATCTCTTTGGTCTAATCTTCTTGGTCCAAGGCTGAATTGATTTCATATATATTTAACACATGCTTGTTTTCTGTCTCACTTGTCTCCTGTACTGCTCATGGTTCACCCTCTTTTTTCCATCTGGAAAACTTATCTCCTAAAATGCTACCATCAATCAGCCAAAGACACTCTTCCCGACAGAGCGTCTGCCAGTTTGACTAAGCACAAGTAGTCACTAGTTTGGGGATGCCTCCCACACTCCAGTGCTGTGTGTTTTTCTAGCCTGCCTAACCACACAAGTGCAATTTAGGATATTTATATTCAACTCTAGTTTCTATTGGAATAACAGCACACTCAGACAGAACTAGGCATCGGGCATGGTAGGGGGTGACATAGGGTGGACTAGAAGTAACACAGTTACTTATCTGCCTACTTTTAACCCTATCACTTTGGATTTGTGCATATCCAACTATTTTGGTCTGTTTTAGCTCAGTCCCTGCTGATAAAAGTATGAAAATCAAGTGCTCACTAGAATATATGTCGTTTGTCTCCCAGATCTTTCCTGAGAACCAGCTCTATTTCCCTTTCTCAGTCCCTCACATCAATACCACTCCTAGCACATTCAGGCCTCTACGTGTAAATACAACATGAAAAAAAGGGGGTTAGGAAAGAGAGCAGGAGAGGGGTTGGCAAAAGCACTGGTTGAAGGAAAGGAAAGAGGAGAGCAGGAGACAGAGGACCCCTCACCCACAACGTTCCAATCATGACCACACCCACTGGCTGCAGCAAAAGAGCACTGTGCATGGGCACAGGTGGGTCCCAGCCTCTCCGGCTGGATGCAGCTTAAGCGCTGAGCCTGAATGAAGACTTTCATTGCTGTTTGCTGTTTTTGTTGGCTAGTAGCCATGGCAAACATTTGCAGGTGGCTTGGCCAGATTTTGACACTTAAATATTTGAGGTTGTGATAAAAATCAGAATATTACTACAATATGGTTCTGTGCAGCCTCAGAAAAAAAAAAAACTATCTGCAATTTCAAATGCTCATTTAAAGACACAGTCTCCAGAGGGAACTCATGTTTTAAAATAAGTACTCATTTCCTCTTTGCTGAGAGAAATAAAAGAGTCAACCATCCCCAAATGTTACCACCTAGAGTTTCATACTGAATCCACTGGTGAGATGGGTTGGGTTGCTGCTTGCTGAGCACCACGATCATCCGGACAAGGTTTTGGATGGGTCACAAGGAGAAAATGGAAATGACAGGATGTGTGGGTTGGAATCAACATGGTAAGCACAACAGGGAAGGAGCTGAAGAAAGGAAAGGGCCTCCCTCAAGCTTGGCAATGAGACAGAGTCCTAAAGTGACAATTATCTCCTAGAACACACCAGGAGAGTCATACAACACTCCAGAATTGTGAATAAATGGGAAGATGAGTGGGTCAGGAGGTCACAGAGACTAGAGAAAGATCCCCAACCACCCTGGCAAAGAGACCCAGCCTAGAAACTTCTCCCAAATGTACAGCCCTGGGTTGGCTGGGTGAATTATTAATAGAGTCAACACCAATCTGAAAATGTAATGCTAACCCTTTAAAGATTGTTTCACAAAACCCAGCATTGTACTAACAATGGCCAAATACTAAGGGCCTCCAAGAGGCTAGTTAGTTGGTAAGGAAGAATGGGGGCAGGGGAGACTGAACTCCAGGGGGAAAGGAATGCTGTAAAACTGCTAGTAAATTCAAGCACATTTTATGTTTTTCCCCTTGAAAAAAAAAATAATTATAACTAGCTGGCCTAACTGTGAATTGTCTGCCCAATGCCAAACCAGTAGAATGAAGGAGTCCCTTGAGATTTTGATGCTGTCTTTTACCCCTATAGTGTACCCTCTCAGTATACTATAGGTTCTTGCGTCCAATGGTGGCAACATTTGCTCCCTTACTCATATGAGAAGAAAAGAAATCTTTAACAGAGACTTGCTAATTTAGCCTTGGCTTCTTCCACAAAGGCAAGCATTCAAATGATCATATTCATTTTCTGTTTCTGACTGTGAAACCAAAATGTCCCCATGGCAAAATCACAAGAGTTGTTGCCCACAGCTTGAACTTATTAAAATGGGTCTTTGCACATCATACTCCATCCTGATAAATTGAAAAGTGTGAAAGACATGGTACCCCTATTAGAGCATTCTAAGAAGGAATATTCCAGTGCCATCTTAGAGTTCACTCTTTGTCTAGAACAGGAGGAAAAGACACTGAAAAAATCTGGGATAATTTTTTAAATATTTTAAAGAAATTACCATATCCAATATTTAATTGAATATTCAAAGTAAACCCTGATTCATACAATAAGCACAGCAAACTCCCTTTCATATTTAGCTAGAAAATTCTGGGAATATAGAGAAACCCATTCTCAGCATTCAACAATATTCATTTATCATCACACTCTGACTTAAGTTATTACTTTTTCTTCCTAAGAAGTTAAGTGCTCTTAAATCTTTTATTTCCTCTTCACTCTGCTCTAAATGCGGGGGGACGGGGGTGGGGGGGGAAGACATCATCCTCATTCTGGAGATAGGGAAGCTGCATTAGAAATTCTGCTCTTCTAAGAAGTTCCTGAGAAATGCCCCTGCTGCTGGTCCTCAGACCATACTCTGACTCACCCATCGTCACATGATACTCAGAAGTGAGAACTTTTCAACCCTTAATAAGCATCTCTGCACTTATGACAGGTTGTTCTACCTATTTTCTCAATGTCATAGTATTGTCCTTTATATATATATATGGAGGAAGGGGGCCTGCTTTCTTCGTTTGGTCTACAAGAAGAAAGCAAGGACATATAGGGAAAGTGAACCTCAGAAACACACAGAAGATAAACATAGGTGATAGGCTTAGCTGCTCCTAAGCCAGGGGAGCTAAAACATGTCTCCACCATCTTGAATATTTATCTTGAGAACTATGCCCTGGGCTCCATAACACCTACAGGGTTTCCCACTGATATCTTCAAATTCATAAACCCTGTTTGAAGAAATATAACAAAGAAATTTGCTTTTGCTCACAAAGTTCAGAGCCCACAATTTCCACCAAACTGAGACTCTTCTTTACTCCCATCAAAAGCATCACTCTGAACTCTAGGCAAAATTGTACAGTCAGGAAAACCAACTTCTCACTCATACAATCCGAACACCAAAACAAGAAGGAAGTCGACACATTCCCTGAGTTCCAGTCAGGACTCCGAAGTGGCCGAGGAGGTCTCTTACCCAATCTGGCGGTTGGTGGAAGGTGCTTGTGTGATGACAGAGCTGGACTGGGGTGACGGCATGGCTTGCTGAATCACCACGCTGGTGTCATGGCTAGGCATCCGGGTGCTGCCAAGCTGGTGAGCTCCGGGCCCTGCCATGGCCCCACCAACTGTGCTATGCATCGAAATAGTCTGCCCAGGAAGACAGAGGGGAAAGATCAGAAGAAAGTCAGTGTTTTAGTCTACTCTCAAGCTCTCAAAGGCCAAAATTAGAATCTAGTCTGTCAACTAAATAGGGACTGATGGTTTCTGGCAAGTCATGAGTCCATTCATTTTGTTATAACTTATAGCTACAAGGAGATGAAAAATAACTATCCACCCTAACAGGTAAATACCTTGAAGTTCATTAAGCATTCTGTCACCATCCTGGTGTGAGGTTTACACCAGGGGCACTGAATGCATATCGCCTCTGACCTGGTGTGATACCTACCGCATCTGGAAATGATTTTTGTAGTAAACACACAATACTTGATATAGTGAATCCTGCGTTGAATGACAAACACACTAGGTGTTTCTTTTTCAGTCCTAAAAGAGTGTCCAACAATCTATTTTTTTCAGGAAATGACTACTTTTCCAGATCATAATCTGAGCAGCCATGACCCAAACTAAACAAGGTGGGGGGCAGTTGGAATCGATGGTGGGATGTCTGGAGGACAAAGACAGGAAAAAAAAATATTGCAAAAAATCAATTTCTAACAATTTTATGGAATATAGAACAACAATGATTTTTCCACTGACTTGTTCCCTGCCTGTTCGTCTAGAATTTAGAGTGTGTTTACAATTCTATCCCATGGAACATGGAGTATAGTAGGCATTCAGTTGTCATGTGTTGCATAAATAAATTACTGAAGGAACAAATGACCCAACTGTGCCACTTAAATGATCTAATATCATGATTATTTCAGATGAATTCCATGAAGATTTCCTTGTCTAACATTCAAAAGTAAGGTAAAATGTGCACAGTAAAGCTGACTTAAAGGTCATTTTCTCCTAGAAAAGAAAATCACTGGGACAAGAGAGGAATCTCATCAAGGCAGAGGAGGGCTGGCTGACACAATGTGGTTGAAATATGAGAATGAATTTCAGACCCCAGAAAAGAAAGAAAAAGTACAGGCAAAGAGAGGAAGTAAGTGGGCCTCTATAAACAGTCAGGTACAGCCTTCTAGTCTGGTAGTGTAGGGAAATTCGAGAGGTCAGTTGGACAATGAGCTAAGGACGGCAGGAAAGAAATAAATGGAGTGTCACTAGCAATTTACTAGAGAAAAAAATACCTATCTTTCTGCACTTTAAGGTTAACAATGAAAAAAATAAATGTTGCCTAGGAGAACTAGAAGTGGGTCTTTGAAGTTCTTCTACAAAGAACAGGATTTCCCACACTATGTGTGAAATGATGGTGATAATACATATGGTATTTGAAGTGGTTGTGTCCATCACATTGCACCTCTCCTAGGTTTTTGATTTCTAAATCCTGACCACACAGTTTGACAGGAGACCAGGTGGAACTGGGCACCTGGCTCAGTGTGTGAGGTTAGGTGCTGGATCCCAAAGGCTCATATAGACTCCTACACACTAAGGCTCCTCTTAGATACTAGAAGGCCTTTCTGATGAGGGAAAATACTGTGCTGGTTTAAGAAGGATCAAAAGAAATGGTGATTTGTGTTAAGGCACCACAAAGGTATATACTTGAGTGCTTTTTATAGGATCTAGGAATTTAGAAACTTGGACTGAAAATAGGAATGAAAATAAACCTAATCCTGTTATTTCTTTTGAAAGTGAGCCTTAACAAGCTTATTTCCTCAGGTCTTAGAAAGATCTGATGAAGTTAAATATTACAAGTATTATGTTTTCAATTATCTGGCTCCTCAAAGTTATCAAAATTTTCCATATTTCTCACAGTTACCTCCTTTATCAGTAATAGATTCAAGGCACAGAAAGATTTATGACTCTCCTTTTAGAATTATTTCTGCAGTGCTATGCTAGCAGAGATTATCAATAAAACTGTATGATTCAATTTGTATTATTTTTATTTATTTATTTATTTATTTATTTATTTTAATTTTGGACAAACTATGATTTCTCCCCTAAGGTGTGTTTACCACCAACACACTGTAGCCCATCACCATATTCCCTTGTGCTTTTCTCCCATTCCTGTTTTGACCTTTCTTGTCTCCACCTCTGTACTCCTCTTCCCCTCAAGAATGCCTAATGTCTATAGTCAGCTTTCAAAGTTTGTCTTTGTCTGATTCTTGGTTTTTCTCTATTCCACATATAAGTGAAACCATACAATATTTATCTTATTCCTTTTGATTTATTTCACTTAGCATCAACCCTCCTAGCTCCATCCATGTTGCCAAAAACGGCATGAGTTTATATTTTTTGATCTCTGAGTAGTATTCCATTGTGTATGTATATCACATTTTCTTGATCCATTGGTCTGTTCTGGATCATTTAGTTTTTTTCCATATCTTGGCTATTGTAAATATTGCCAAAATAAATAAAGGAGTACAGTTTTCCTTTTCAATTAGTGTTTTTGTGAACTCTGGATAGAATCCTAGGATTAGAATAGCTGGGTTGTGTGGCAGATCTATTTCTAGTGTTTTAAGGAAGCTCCACACAACTTTTCATAATGGCTGGACTAGTTTGTATTCCCACCAGAAACTATACAATTTATTTTTTTACATAAGAATCTCACAAAGAAAAATATCAAATGCACAAAACCTTCTAGAGTCATTCTTGATACATTTTTTTTCTTTCACTACCACGTATAATCTTCAAATACTACAAATTTAACCTGAACATCCTTTACCTCTTTCTGTCTTTCCAACTATCCTTCCCTAACCTGCACCCAACCATCAACATCTTCTTTCCTCCTCTTTCCCACACTATGACTACAGTGATCTTTCCACAAAGCAAACCTGGCCACACCACACACAAATCCCACTACATTTCCACTTAGCCTTCCCAAAATTTTCTAGATGGGGGCCCAAGGTTCAAGGATAAAGACTCAAAAGACCCTGATAGCATCCTTTGTGATTCAGTGAAGAACTTTTCCTACCTCTCAGCTCACCTCACACCACCTTCACTTTTATTCTGTGACTCATTCCACATTTCTGGAATCTTCCTGATCTCATAACTGATGAGGTTCCATTTTAGTGCAGCACCTTGACATAGACTGTTTTCTGCTACCAGTGCCCTGTCCCTGACTCTACCTTCAAACCCCAGGTGAAGCATCTTGTGAAGAAGCCTTCTTTGATCTCTCCAAGGATGGGCGCTGTCTCCCTCTCCTTCAAAATACTTCTCACAAGTTTATAATTGTTTCTTATCAGTTAATTCCTATCTGAACTTCCTTTGCACAGTGGGAGAAGAGACTATGTCTGACTCTACTGCCTATTGTGTCTCCACTAGTAGACCAAGGTCTGGCTTATAATGGGAGCTCTGTAAATACTGAGTGAATGAGTAAACTATAAAATAACATTCCTAAACCATTCAAAATGCTAAAATTCCACGATGCTTATATTCCAGAATCATTGTTGAAAGAACTAACTTTTTGTATATTCACCTTGAAATCTGTAAGTATGCTCACAATTAGTAATTTTTTCATGTGGAGATACTTATTCAATTATAGGCTAGAGAAACAAAGAGGATCGATATGAAGAAAGTCACAAACATGGTATGAAGATCAAAAAGCAAAGTGTTCTAGAAAATATTAAATGAGCTCTTAGAGAAATATGCCAAGAAGAAAACTGCATGTTTCTGAACACTTTGACTCAAATGATGGTGACAACTACTTATTAGTGCTACCATGAAAACCAAGAAAAACTGATTTATGCTGCAGTACAAAAAGATGAGTTTGAGTCCTCAGAGTAAAGCATGTTAAATGAAGGAAATGAGAACCCACCCCCTTACAAAAAAAAAAGTTTTGGGATTTACACTGAAAATCATGACAAGGCCTAAAAGGCCATCTAGAGCCCTCCCTGCTGGCACAATGAGTTAGGACACAGCACTGCAAACTAGCTGCAGCCACTTCAGTGAGAGTTTGATCTCTGCCTTGGAGGTGATCCACATGGCATGGCAGACCTCTCCTGATGTGCCGGCTGTTCCCCTCAGCAGTGTATTTCAGTCAGTCTGCCAGTTCTGTTTCCTACTCTGTCTCTGGTGGATTCCTCACCCCTGCACCTCTGGCCTATACTCCAGTTCTCATTTGCATAAATAAATAAATATATATTTTTTTAAATAAAAAAGACCATCTAGGTACTTCACACCTTTCCTCACTAACATTTTTAAGACATCTCTTACCCTCTGTGATCTCCAACAGAGATGGAAAAGGCTCATGAAATATATATTTTGTATTATATTTCTTCAGTAACCTCCTTTATATGAAATCTGCACATTTCTTCCAGATCCAGAGTAGTTTCAAAACATTTTGAAAAAGTAAACAAGTAGGCAAGCATTATCATTTCATGTTAAGAAGACTTTTTTCTTTAAGCATTACATAGTAACTCAAACATGAAATTATTTTCTGAGCTCACATTGTCTCAATTATGGGTTCAAAACCTGTCTTCATTGATAAGAGAATGACATTTTTACCTCCTGATAAATTCAATATCCAATTTCAAAACATAAAGCATGACTCTTGTCGAGTTAGTTTTGCTAGGATAGGAAGGTAGATTTGGAGCTGGTGAAACAATGTCACTGATGGAGGGACATCAGTACTCAGGGAGGCTTGGGGGTGCTCCTCCAGGATCAGCCTCTGACCTCTTTCAACATTTTTATCAACAGCTTGGATAAAGATGTAAAAATCATGCCTGTCAGACCAGTTGGGAGGCACAGCTAATGTTCTGGAGAGTAGAATCAGGTTTTACTTGAGCCAACTGTGTGATCTGGCCTCCAAAAATGCTAACATAAATCTAGGTTTGTTGCAGGAGAAGTGCAACAACCAGATCAAGGGAAGTAATTATTCCACTGTAGAACACGTTGGGCTGACCACATTTGGCCACCACATTTTAAGGGGGAAATTGACAAATAGGAGGGAATGAAAGCAATGAAGGCATCCAAAACACATTACAAGAAGAACAGTAGAAGAAGCAGGGAATATTTAGTCTGAAGAAGAGAAGAGTTAGAGGCTCCTGCTA